TAGACTATTCAGCAAAGCAGGAAGGTTTATAACCTCTAATATCTAATAAAACTACTCATCTTGCACACACACACACACACACATATATACACACGACACTTATTAAGTCACATTTTGCTGTTTACCCTTTCTAGCCTGTAAACAGCGTTGTTAAACATTTTTTACTTGAGTATTAAATTGACTTATCCTAGTTGTCATAGAAACCAAAATCTCATTAAAAATGATCTCTTTGGTGTTAGCATTCCAAGGAAACCAGGAAATTCACATAAATTCCCATCTTACTTGAGCCCCAAGCAGACAGTCAGGCTCTGAGTTCAAATGCTCCCCTGCACTTAGAGAAAATGATAATGTATAGGAAGAAACAGAAAAATGGTTTTTGTTTTAGATCTTGGCAAGAATTGGGAAAGAGAGAAATTATCAGTCTTACTGTACCTTGCCTGAAGCAGTGTTATAAGGAAAAACAAAGGGCATAGAATATACACCTGTCTAGTTTTGAGCCCAATTTACCAGAGCTAAATGTAAGTCTTTCTCCTGAGAGACCAAGTGACTCTCTGGTGCCAAACCAGAGGACCTATGTATGACACCAGGGACATACATGGTGAAAGGAGAGCAACCTACCCCATATAGTTGCCCTCTGGCTTTCATGGCTGCACCCCATGCACACAAAGAAACAAATAAACGTGGTTTTTAAGAAGAAATGAGGACAAAACATGTGAATACCAGAGGAAGAAAAACCAACAACTAGTTTTGCTAGGGTCAGACAAGTTGAGCCTGCATTAGGACAGATGTTCCTTTGATGGTTTGTGAGGACAAAATGGTTGCTGAGAACATAAACAACCCCCACAAAGTACACAGTGCTCTGGGGTAATAAAGAGACAAATCTGACCATGTCATATTTGGGAATCAGCTCTAGTAGTTACAGTGAAAATATGCCATCGTTGAATCATGTTTTTGGAACCAGTTCTTATAAAACTAAGCTTAAATCTATTATGAAATAATTCAGTAAGTTCACAGAGATTGCAAATCACCATCATCAGAAAACACAAGCACACAGAGGTTGTCACACACAGCCATTCACATTAGGGACATACTGTGATGCAGCACTACCTGCTATTTATAAATTAAGAGGCCATTCCTATGTGGCCAGACCTACACAGTAACATAAAAATAAACCATTTTCAGGAGCAGAGGCCCACAGTTGCGACTTAAACTGTTTACCTGATTTAATAACTCCACATTTTTATATTAGCTACTAAGATGATGCCACTAGACCCTGACATGGAAAGTTAAACAGAAAACCAACTCTCATGTGCTTTTCTGAGCCAACTCTAGCACAGCAAAGGGCATGTGAATTACTAAGCATAACAAACTCTGTATTGACTCCACCAAAAGGTCCCATTGTATTAGATAGATAGCTATATGAAACCTATAGGAATGTATGGTTCCACGGGTTCTTAGAGTGAAAAACACTTATCAACGTGAGTTTTCCCAGTTTAAGGATTGGGATGGTTATCCTTTTCATGTTCAACAGATCATGAGATTCTTGTTAAACAAAGATGTATGGTTGAGTCTTTCAAGTGCCACTCACAAGTTCTGTGATTTTAAATATCCTAGCAAACTTTTCAACCCAATAAGTTAAATTGAGTGACAACATCATGAATGAATATTAACTATAAGTAATTTTTCAGAAAACATAATTTTTATTGAATTATGAAATAGATTTAAAGTGAATATTCTGAGTGAATAGATTTGAAATAGCACTATTTTCCAATACTGGCAGCAGAAGTCACATAAGTAAAAACTGTTGGGATTCTTCCCATCAAAATGTTTCAAAACAAAAAAAAACAGATCAAGAATTCAGGAAGGTGGCCAAAAGTCTCCAACAAAGTGTCCATGAGCTGATTTTCTAAAGGGAAACTGCCTTTTAAAATTTCTTCTGGGAAAGCACTGTAATAGATCAACGATCCAACATTTGCACACAGTAATAATACATACACTACACAGAGTAATAGATCAGAATGGAAGTGCACTCAACATTTCCCGGTGACAAGAATTCAGAATATGGTCTGCCAACCAGAGCAGTTCAAAGTCATGTCCTTATGGACCAATGCTCAGAGGATCCATACTCCTAGCCTAAAGAGAACCAGGCAAGTATATGTATCTTCATATCTGAGTGGTAATTTTTCAGTGACATAATATCTTGTACTATATTTAATAGTAGAATTATCTGGCTCATGAAACTTCACATCATTGCAATTCACTGCACAGTGGTCTACTTCACTTTTTAGAAGCTATGTTCACTTCAATTGTGTGCATGCATATGTGTATGTCCCCATTGTATACCCCATTCTATATTGTGAGCATCCTTTTCAAAGCCTTTCTAAGGAGTTTCAAGAGTATATGAAAGGGTTACCTATTGAACAAAGCTGGGATTTTGATCAAGACACTAAAAGGAAACTAAAGCTATAACAACCCGAGATAACTGAGGGAATATTTTATAGTCACTTGGATATTCTGTAGTGGCCAGTGGATTACAAGGCTGACTTGAGTCTATGTTTCCTGTGTTAATGTTGGAATATGAAAAGTCCACATAATTCACATGTGTTAAAGACTTCTCAGTTGGTGGAACTATTTTTGGAAGGTGTTGAATATTTTAAAGATGGGAGTAACCTGGAGGAGATGGGTAAATCTTGGACATACTTATAGAAAAATATTTTGGTTTTGGCCCCATTGTAAAATATCTTTCTGCTTCCTAGCTATCATGAGGCAAGAAGCTCTGAGGTTCATGCTCCAGTGCCAGGAAACTGGGGGACCAGGGGCTGGAGGATGAAGAGACTGAGCAGCTCCCTGCAGACGGGACACAATTTATTTGCTAGAACAGGATGCTAGGAAGGCGATGGCCTGAAGGTACCTACACACATGGCCAACACACACTGGCCAGATACATGCTGGCAGAGACACGCATGCACATGGGCCATGCAAAGGCAGGCATACAGGTCTACAGACAGACGTTCAGGCAGGCTGGGGAGGCAAAGGCAAAAACTGAAGCTCATACTAAACCTCTTGTCTCTGATCTGGAGGTCCCATTTATACAAAACCCAAATAAAGGTGGCATTCTGCTGGAAACAGTCATATGACAGATTGCATCACTGTTTACTTTGGGGTTCTCTGGATATCTACTATCAACGATTTTGTGCTGACTGAGAGCCCCCTTACAGAGATGGCCTACTTCACCCATTTTGTCTCATATAAGGTCTCTAGCCTGCCTAAGCAGAAACTGCTTCTTATAGCCCAGTGTGTCTGCCACATGCTTTCACCACCAAGGTAACGCCTTTCCTTATTACCATAGCAACAGACCTGAGCCAACCCTATGACAAACCCTCTGAAAGAATGAGTCAAAAGAAATCATTCCTCCTGTTGAACCGTTAAACTCTCAGGTGTTTGTCACAATGATGAAAAAGTCTGACTGACATAGCTCCACTCAAAAGTTGTATAAAGACATATTCATCTTTTCATTTTCCCCAGTACTGAGGAACTAAACTCCTTCAGAGTTTGACCAGTTATTCTGCAGGTTCATGGAAAACAAACATATTTATCTTCCCGTCTTCTCTTCTGCCTATAAACCTATTTTAAGTAGCCTGTGAGTCATCATTTAAAAATCAGCCCATGCCACATTTACCAGCCCATCAGAATTCTCATTTGCCTTTATTCAGTGTGAATTACTAAGCAAGGTATTCTCAGGAGCTATGGGAAAGGTAACTTGAGGTAGAGGTAAGTTTTCAACAAAAGAGAGGATTCTATTCCAAAGATGTAAAAGCAATAGGGAATTCTGTCAAGCCAAAGTTCAAGTCTTGCCAGTGTGGACACAAGACTCCTGATTCCTGTGGATCAAGATATAGAACTCTGAGCTCCAGCTCTAGTACTATGTCTGACTACATATCAGCATGTCCTGACATGACAATAATGGACTAAACCTCTGAAACTGTAAGCCAGCCTCAATTAAATGTTTTCCTTTATAAGAGTTACCATGGTCATCATTTCTCTTCACATCAATGGATACCCAAGGCAGAGAGATGTACTTATCTGTGTATATAAGGATATACAAGGCAGTTTTCAATTATTCTGGCTTAGGACATTCATAATGGCAGATTCTATGATCTCACCAGCCAAGAGTAGGTTTTATAGTAGCAGACATAAATTACCTTCGACTGAATGGCCCTTAAGTCACATTAGAAAATTGTTTTATTCATTCTGTCATTATGTGCTCTTGGATATTTTTTACCATTCTATTCATTGTTGTGGGTTCCCAGCTGTACAGCTTTGTGAAACTCTGATTATTCTTCTCCTTGGAACCTTACAAAGCAACTTTGGATACTATGAGAGCTTTTCCTCGGGGATGAGGCTTCCAAGTCAGTTTCATCTTAACGCCTCCAAGTCCTGTGTCTGAAGTATATAGTGTATTAATTCTATTAATTCTGATTAATTCTAATCTTGCCAGCTCGTGGTAGTACACTTCTTTAATCCCAGCACCCAAGAGGCAGAGGTAGGTAGAGGCAGTACTATGAGTTCAAGGCCAGGCTTGTTCCAGGACAGCCAGGACTTTTAGACAGAGAAACCCTATCTCAAAACAAAATAACTAACTAACAAAAACAAAAACACAATCCCTCAACATATGTGTGACAGTTGTGTAGCTTGGTCTATTTGTGGTACTCCTAACAATGGGAGCTAACGCTTTGCCTGGCTCTTGGGAACCTGTTCTTCATACTAGATTGCCTTGTCCAACCTTAATACAAGGAGAGATGCTTAGTCCTACCTCAAATTGATAGGCCATGCTTTTTTGATAGCCATGAGAGGCCAGCCCCTTTCTGAGAGAAATGGAGAAGGAATAGATTTAGAAGGGCAGAGGACAGATGGAGGGACAGAATGGGAAGAGAGGAGGGAGGAGAAACTGCAGTCAGAATATAAATTAGACAAACTAAAACAGAAGTAATTGGTCTTACCTTCAGGTTCTGAGAGTAAACCAAGGGCAATGGCAATACTCTATATTGCTCTGGGCATCTCTTGAACTTCTACAACCATGACAATTGTATTCTATTAATCTGTAAAGAAAAATAATTCATTAAAATTTGCAGGTAAATGGATGGAACTAGAAAATACCACACTGAGTGAGGAAACCCAGACCCAACTCTGAAACTTTAGGTATAATTATGTAAGACAAAGTAACCATGGAAATCAGCAAAGTCAGCGAGATCATGGGGGCAGCTCTAGATAGGAAGATAGTGGGCACAGATGTTATTTAGATAGGAATGGTAAAAATGGGGACACACTAACTCAAGATGAGGAAAGAAGGTAGTATAGAAGAGAGGGGAGGGGAAAATGCACAAAGAATTGAAAATGCCACAGGGAAACACATTATTTTATTATATCAATTTAAGTGCATGTGAATATGAATGAAATATGCCATTTCAGATAGTAAGGCTCCCCTGAATGCCATAGATCATATAGCAAAAAACTCTAGAACTCTTGTTTTGACTTCCTATATTTTTAATTTTTGAGATTATGGTATAATTACAACATTTCTCCTTTCCCTTTCCTCCCTCCAAACCTTCCCATATACTCCTCATCTCTCCCTTTCAAATTCATAGTCTCTTTTTTATTGTTATAACACATGTGCGTGCGCACGCACACACACACGCACACACACACACACACACACAACCTTAATATGACCTGCTCAGTCCATATAATGTTACTCGTGTTATGCTTTCAGGGCACAGGTCAGCAATTTAGTATACTCTTCCCTGGAAAAGAACATCTCTTCTGGTCCCAGCTTTTCTGGGTTGTCTACAGTTCATTATGTAGGGTTGAGGCCTACTGAGAATTTTCCCTGTCTACTTTGACATGTCCATTGGTGTTGCCCATGTTTAACTCATGTTTTTCCCTGTCTACTTTGACATGTCCATTGGTGTTGCCCATGTTTAACTCATGTTTGGGAAGTCATGTGGGTGAAATATTGTGGGTGTAGCTTCTGACATTACTAGAAGACAGAGCAAAATTCTATAATTTAACTATTAAAGAAGTATCAAAATCAACATCTTGTTCTGGAAGTTTAGAGGATGTTACCTTTATTAAATCTGGGAAAACATGTTTTGCACTTTCCCTGAAGTTGCTGGCTATTCTAATAAAGAATAACTTACAATCATTAGGGTTTAAATGGGAAGAACTTGCCTGATATAAAATATCTGTTTTTAGTTAAGTTCACCACACTTTGTTGAACTAATATGAAACTCATCCATATATGAGTGGGAGGAGCTTAGAAATTTTAATTTTTAGGGTAGAAATGACTGTCCAAGAGATCCCTGGCACATACCAGCAAAATAAATACCTTTCTCCCAGTTTTGATAGTTTGAGAATCACATCAGAGTCTGCATATGCATAGTTCTTGCCTTTGTCCCACTTTTAAAAGAAACTGTAACTATACTATGAATAAGTTAGGAATGACTAAGAGTTTCTCTCTCAACCAAGCAGTGGTGGTGCAGGCCTTTAACCCCAACTTGGAGGGCAGAGGAAAGTAGATCTCTGTGAACTTGAGGCCAGACCGGTCTACAGAGCAAGTTCAAATACAGCCAGGTTATGTGCAGAAACTATGCCTCAAACAGAAACAAAAAGGAGTTTCTCTCTCCTCTGTTCCTAAAAATTACTGAACAAGTTCAGTTATTAATTTCTCTGTACATATTTTGTTTTGTTTTAAGTAAGAATTAATTCAAATAGTAAGCCAGAGTTTATATTTTAATATATACATAGAAGAATATTCTCTATAGTGTCTTCTCAAAATAAAATGATGTATGAACTCATAGGAGAGAAAAATACCAAGTTCAATTTCCAAAATAGATGAAGTGCAATTCCTAGTTCCAGTGTCTTACCTTATAGTGACTAACTCTCTATTTCAATATTTTAGTATATTGGCCTTTTTGAAATATGCTTACTGTGCTGGACTCACCTTGGAGAAAGAAACCTCCATGAAAGAATTGTCTCCATAAGATTGGCCTGTGGGAGGCCTGCCCCTTTCTGCACAGAAACAGATGGGGAGGAGGAGAAGAGGAAACAGCAGTTGGGATGTAAAATAAATAAATAAATAAGATTGGCTTGCGGGCATGTCTATGGGAACATTTCCTTGATTACTAATTGATATAGGAGACCCAGCCCACTGGGGAAGAAATGTAGTTGGCACTAAGAGGGAGCAAGCCATTAATCAGCCTTTCTCTTAGTTTCAGCTTCATGTTCATGTAAGGGGAGCTATAGCGATCACAAATTATAATTTAAGCACAAATTTATAAAACAGAGATGTTAAGAATCTGTGCCATTCTTTATATACAGAGTTTTAAAAGCAGCAAATATCACTAAAGATAAAACAAAATGCCTCAGGTCTTTCTGGTCCCCAATAAAACAGCATTGCCCTGGTGCAGGGCACCTTTGTTGGAATGGAAACAGTAGCAAAGGAGCTGCAGGAAGGGACCTGTGATCGGCTCCTCTCTCCCTTTCAGGATTCCATTTCCCTTCACATTATCAGTGAACAAACTGATACAGCACCCAGGACTCAACAAAAAATGGTGACATGGGAAGTAAATATGTGGCATCTGCATATGTGATGAATATTGGATTCATCTATTCAGATACTTCTTCGTTACTACCTGATTGCCATTAAGCGTAGTAAGTCCAGACTACAAGAGACATTGAGTCTTAATCCTGTCACCAAGAATATCTGGTGTCACACACAAAATATAACACAAAAGAGCCTTTTCTAAGAAACCTGTAATGCCACATGAACAGGAGTATCATAGAGAGATCTAATTTAGTGACTAGAAAACACACAGAATTATACTTTCTAAAACCATACCCTACTGTGGCACAATAAATAAAAAGATAAAAATATGCAGATAAAAGAGAGTTGACAGTAAAATTTGCAAAACTTTTAAACACCCAGCCTTTTATAGTATCAGTTAACAAATGGATGAACTGAGAGTGCCATCTGGCAGGTTATATCTTCGTTTGCTTGCCTGTTTGTTTGCTTGTTTGTTTTCTAATAAAATGTATTGGAGCTCAGTGACCCTCAGTTTTTATCCTTTATGCTACTACTATTATGGCAGAGTTGAGCGATTGAGAGGAAAATGTATGGCTTTTAAGAACAGCCATAAGCTAGTTAAGAAAATAATTTAAATACTAGTTTTGAAGGGAAGTACCCTTCATGGGTAGACAATATTGCTATTAGAAGCCCTATGCTATTAAACAAAAATTACAGTGCCAGGTGTACTACATTGCCATACGTATTTCAGGAAGGAGTGCTGTGAAATAATGTAGTCCAGATATGATATCACTACTGCATCAATGAACACACAGTAGTAGCAGTTAATTGTAGAAGTACCATCATTCCATAACAGTTAGGGGAGCGGCTCACAAGGCCTCACTTATCCCTCAAGAAAAATAGTCATTTAATGGCTACTGGGGAAGAGAGAATCATATTTATAGGTTGTATAGTCACTATAAAGTTACCTTTATCTACCTATGCTCATGCAATTAAAATCAAATGCAGAAGGCTACAAAAAAGAAATGAAGATTGAAAAGGAATGTTATAGCAAGAAGAAAGGCTTTTTTCCTTTCTCTACTTTTATTTAAATTAGAATCAAGCTTGTTTTACATGTCAATTCCAGTTCCCTCTCCCTCATGTCCTCCTCTGCTCCCCCCACCGGCCCCCTATGGAAGCAGATGCAGATACCCATAGCTAAACACTGAACTGAACTCCTGGAATCCAGTTGTAGAGAGGGAGGAGTGATGAGCAAAGGAGTCAAGACCAGGCTGGTGAAACCCACAGAAACAGCTGACCTGAACACGAAGAAGGGTTTTGTGGTAGCAGAAACAGAATAAAAGATCATAATGTGGGAAATGTGATCAAAGTGCATTATATATTATATGTGAAGGTTGCAAAAGAATAATTTCTATTGCTTGAAATTTTAATACTATAATACAACGTGTTTTAGCAAATCTACGCTGCATTCCTTTAGCCTAAATTCCTTCCAAATCCCATCTACCACAGTTCAGGTCCAACTGCATGTCTTATTCTTAAACCCACTAAATCCACTTATAATTAATTTATAATTATTTCATACAATATAATAGGATCCTATTCTTCCCCAACCCAACTCCTCCTAGATGCTGCCCACATTCCCAAACACTGAAATTCAAGGAGTCTCTGTTCTCAAAAAATGACATGAAATAAGATAAAAATACTACAAGAAACTGAAATACAAAAACAAGTAAAAGCTCACACTCAAAAAAAAATCATAAAGTAGTCAACTATCCCTGAGAATGGGTTTGCTATGGCTGACATATCTAGTGACACGCCACTGGAGAAAACTGATTTCACCTTGCCAATAAGATATTAATTGCAAATAAGTAAAACATTATAAATGTACATTTAAAGACAGAATAAGTCCTTCCTGATGAACCACTGAAGAGTGTGTCCCTTCTCCATTTTAACATTAATTATGAGTGTGTTTCATAACCTGCTACAAGGAATAGTATGGCTATTGTAACCTCAGTGACTTATGAGGCAATTTAGTGATAGTCTTTCATAATGAGGAATGAATCTAGGGTCTCTAACATGCTAGGCAAGTCTTCCATCACTGCATACAGCACAGTCTCATGATACATCTTTAAAACGCTACAGGAAAAAAAAACCTTGTAGGAAATGATGCTTACTTAGAAAACTTCAGAGACATCTGATTCCTGACTGTAAGCACTCAAAGCTCCCCTAGCATAGCTTTTCTCTCAACTTACATCACAGAATCAAGCAAGGGAAATCTCTGATGGTGACTCAGCCTCTCTCTCAGCAAGAACTGCCAGAACGGCTCTCCCTCCCACACAATAGGAAGAAGCCAGCACCTGCATCTAAAACTAATACGTCAATTGCCAAACACAGGCTCACACAGACACAATAACATCACAGACTCCGTGTTGGTTCGTAATTGATTCATAATTTAAACCACTGTTCCTATAAATACAGCTGATTCATTTCTCAGGGCACAGGCACGTTGAGAGCCCA